GAAGTTATCCACAATGGTGATGTCTTATCTTTTAATCCCTCACTTAAACCCAGTTTCCTTCAACCCTGGCACATATGGCATGTGTATTTCTACTATTTATAAGGCTGAGGCTCCGGGCCAAATGCACGAGAGCTACCTTGGCTAACACTTAACTTCTGTTGTTTGCTGTTCTCACTTTTGTTATCTGTCAGGCCAAATGACGGCTTATTTTGTGTGATCCAAGAAGTCTGCAGTGTGCAAATACAAAGATTAAAGATCCCCTCCAGACATGTATTGAGACATGTATACAAACTGCCTGCTTGGAATAATATTATGTGTTTTTATTTCCGTTGCCAGTCAGCACACATATTGCATTTCCTGCACAATGATTTCTCGTACACCAACTGTAAAAACAGTATACTATGAAAATCAGTACATAGTTCATACTCTGTGTTATTAGGATGCAATAATTGGGACAGTGTCAGGAAGTTAAATGACAATTGCACATTGAATAATATATGTATTTACTCCCTTGCTGAATACAAAAACAAACAAATACAATTTAAATTTTGATCTTTTTACACAAACCAGACCTGGTTGTTATACATAAAGGGAGACAAACCGACTTAATCTTGACACATAATGTAAAATTAATCACTGATTTAGGCTGCAGTTGGACATTTAGGACCTTGCTCAAATTCACGTCAACCGTACCTTAAAGACAGACTTCTGCAGGTAGATCATTTGAAGGCAATTTAATACTGCACTCTAAAGTAAAAGCTGGGGGTGCTCACAAGAGACACATTTGAAAAAGAGCAGTCAAAATAAAGCAACTGAGGCTGTGATATCCTGACTTCTAGTGCCTTGTCAACACCCACATACTGTATTTAAAGCTCCATGCCCCAGTTTGTAACCCAGGCTTTGCTTTCTAAGTTTGTAGTCTCCAAACCCAAGCTAAGATGAGACCATGATGACATTATTAGGTTTATTTTCTCAGATTTTAAAAAGCATCTCCCACTGCCACATAATACATTATGTTCACACAGGCTGAGCAGTACCCAGACATGCATCAAGACATATAATAATGCCTGTTTTCTGCAAAAGAAAAAGTATAATTTCCACATTAAAATCCACAATCTGTTAATATGCATGAATGAATGTTGTTCATTTCTAAAGTTTT